ATAGAACTTCTGATGCATCTCCTTTGACCCTTATAGGACCACACCGGAATATGTTCTCGTATACATGTTGACAGCAATCTCTGACTACGACCGATGTACCTTGTTTGACAGAAGCAGGTGAACTGGTAGATACACATGGATGTGGCCTGTCTAGGAATATTGTCTTTTATCCAAACGGAGAACAATTTACGACTGGTAAAGATCGAGTGAAGTTTTGCTGAAAAAAGATCCTACTAATTCATGTGGAAAGACGATTTTTCAGGATATCTGGTGTTTCATCACCTTTGAAGTCCAGGTTCATGAACAAAGTCTTTTTTGAAACTGAGCTAGTGACTGGTTTTGCATGTGTTTCTTGTATATTCTTATCGATAAATTGGCTAGGATAGCCGTTTTCCGCGAGCGTCCGTCTTAGAAAGTCAAGTTCAATTTGGATACATTCCGTGCTACAAGTATTACGTATTCGATGACACAGAGAGCGGATGAGGTTTCTCTTCGTCATGATCGGCACCCAGCTATAGAAATTAGTGAGTTGTCCATTCCATGTGGGATTCCTGTAGATAGATCTTTTCAGTGTTCGATTGCTACGTCTCATAATCAGTATGTCAAGGAAAGGAATAACTGATTCCAATTCCTTCTCAATAGTGAATTCCAACGCTGAGTGATAATTGCTAAACCGGCGTAGGATGTCATCTTGACCGATAGTTGAGTAGCAAATAACGAATATATCATCTGTATATCGCTTATACATGTCAAAATGCTTAATAGTTTGGCTAAGAATAGAATTTTCTAGTTTTGGCATAAAATAATCTGCCATTAGAGGTCCCAGCGGGGATCCCATCACAACCCCATTATTTTGCCGGTATATCTCACCATCGAAACTAAATTGCACATTGAAAATACATCTCATCAATAGCTCTGTCAAGTAGTTTTTTGGAATTCCTACTTCTATATTGTGTGAATCGACGAACAAACTGTTTCAATGAGTGGTGCACTGGTGAACAATGAGGTAACATCTAAGGAAAATATAGCTCTACCAGTGGTGTCAACATCCTTAATGCCATCAATAAACTCAAATGTATCACGGATAGAACAATGAGACACTTGCCTTCTAACTGGTTCCAGTATTTCAGCTAACCACTGGGCTATACAATGATAAGGAGAACCTGACACATCCTAAATTGGGCAAAGAGGTAATCCAGCTTTATATATTTTCGGTAGTCCATACAGATGTGGAATTACTGAACCAACAGGTCGGATGTGTTCATACAAACGAGAGGAAATCAACGTATTACCCTTCATTTTCTTCAGGATACTTGTGAGTTGGATCTCAATCTGTTGTGTTCTGTTCTTCTCACCTGCAGGTTTATCAAACTTAGTTTGGTCGGAGAGAATCGATGGCATTTTCATGATGTATTCCTGACCATTCATCAGAACGACACCCCCTCCTTTATCAGGACGACTTAAAATGATGTCATGATTGTCAGTGATCGACCTGAGTTGTGTTATATGCTCCTTCGTCAACAGATGATTCAAACTATATTTTGAATGAGCGAACTGGTGACAGCAGTCAAGAACAGTGAATTTAAAGTGTTGGAAATCGTGTGATGATGCCGGAGCAAGATCGGAAGTCTGACTAATTAGGTTTTCAAATTGCAGATGAATGTGGAGTCTGTTAACTTTCGATGTGCTACTGCAGAACTTGGGACCCAATGATAGGGTTTGTAACTGGATTTCGGAGAGAAATACTGAATAATAATTGATCAACAAAAATGACTTATTAATTCCAAACCTGGAATCGTTAGATGTCTATAGGCTGTTCACCATCAAAAACAGTTTACATAAAGTGCCACGGCAACATAAACACCAAAGTTGAGTAAAAAATAAACCGGAAAAGTATGAAACACGCGTGAATACTCAGGTCGCGATACAAGGCATGATATAAAATAATGTTCAAAAGAAGATATGGCTTCAAAGAACAACTGAAGGGAGCAGTAATATTCTAAGATATTAAATGACGAGCAAAATACTATTATGACCGAAATAATCGTTGATGTGGACATAAGGTAACATTTTGAAAGCATATAATTACACTACTCATTATTAGTAAGTAGCAAAAAACCAAAAGTGTAAAAGTGTAAAATTTAAATAGGAGTAAGAACGCCGAAATTAACATCGACATACTATGGAAATGATCAAAAGATTAACTTAAATTCTTCAGCTGATAAAGAATCGATTCAATAATTACAATAAACTTGATTCACTTGACTTTTTCAGCACTGTAAATGATGCAAACGTTTACTGAAAGCGTGTATTGTCCTTGGAGGTTGTTACTCTTCATAAATATCCCTTTAGCAAAATCTGATTTAACTGTATTGAGACCACTAAACTTGATACTGGTATTCCTAAACAGTTTCTTGTGTAATTGCTGTTATAATCCACCTGAAGTGTACAATTTAGACCTAATATTAAACTTTGTTCACAAAACGATGATTTACCAAAATGAAAATTTTGTTTTTTGGAATGTCTTTCATGACTCGGTAGGACTATTATGATGATAAAAGGAAAATTGGTATGTTGATCTTGGTGCTTGGCAGAGGAAATCATAACGCGCGTTTCGTCCTACTCAAGACTCGTCAGCTGTATATACCTGCATCCCAGTGAGTGATCTTGTTCCCACTGAGTTTCGAAACCAATACATGCCGCTTCAAACGCCTGACCATTATCCACTAAGCCAGTGGTGTACGATAGCCACCTCTAGTACAACGGGTATCAGCTGTCGTTAAGATATTTGTGATTTCCCGTTTTTATTCAGGGACGAATTGGTCGACCTCTGTTAAGAGATGGGCTGCTATACAGATGCTTCGATAACTGCTGATACTGCTAGTCACTGAGATCATTATAACACCGTGAATATTAAGGAGTATTTAGGCATTCCCATCTGTCTACAGAAGTCGAGCAACGAGCGATAGCGGTCGACTTGTTAGTATTTCTGGATAAACAATATACAGTCACCGGTGGGTATACAGAAAGAAAGGATAAGAATTTACATTAATCACAACGAAGCATACTCGACTGTAGAATAAAATTACCAGAAACCTAAAAACTGAATAACCAAGCATATAACTGTAGCACTGCATACTACATCAAATCACCAGACTTTATACGTATTGGCATCCCACCAGAGTGACAAAGTTGTACTCTTCTAATTTATTCATCATTTCCAAACTTATCCATGTCTAGTCAGGTTAAGCACTCATGTCTTTCTCTAGAATATGTCCAGTTATTCATCTTACAAGACGAGTCGTATGAAACACTCATCAAATGAACAAAACTCAACTTCAAGTTTACTGTGGATCGCTGAGTTCAGAAGTTTACATTGATAATCACAACAGCCTGTTCATAAGTGGTTATTTGTTAACTGGTTTGAGGCAATCACAAAGAAGCCCTACACGGCCTCTACGGATTTCCTGATTGCTGGCACTCATCATTAATGCATATCTGTAACCCCGATGGAACTGATATTCCACCTGAGACTCGGACCTGTGTTATTAAGTGTTGTAGTTAGCAAAGTTACTACTGAGGTATCCGAGATGCGACTGACCTCCTGTAGAACGCTGACTGGTCAGTGGAAATAAACCTAGGTCATTTTGTGTAGTCGTGAATGTCCACCGGAGTCTATCGTTCATTTCCTAATGAAGGGTATTCACACTGTTTGATTCATTCTGATAACTAACATAACTAACTAGCATTATCAATGCTCTGCAAGTGTAGAAGTAGAGTCACATGCTCGATGTGAAATGTGACTTGTAGCAGGTGTCGGTGTTGAACAGACTGGCCTTCCTTATTCTACGTATTTCACCCTCTAACCATAAGCGTACAACTCATCGATAATTCGAGTCATACAATTACTCATATCCTAATGATGGATAATAGCTAGCCATTATTAACATGTAATTCAAACACAGGCAATATATCTAGGCATCTGTGTTGGAGCCTATATGCAAATAGAGACTAGTCAATTCGGTCCACTCAACAAAAGGATAATACAAGCAACAACATTAATTGCTTATGTATTTCTGAGATGAATAGGGATTTTTAATTTAGAAGTAGTATTCATCAGTCTGTCAGGATGGCTTGTATGCGTGTGTAGAAATATCGTTGCTACAATAATTTTCAGCTTTGATCCACTTGCCTGATTATCTTGCCTAGAGAGAGTGGATGCTAACTTGACGTAATTCTGTATTTTATTCGTTAATGCAATAAGAATTATCATGTGATTTTGCATTTATACATACATCCACCTTTGTTGCTAGTACATTTCATCAGCAAGCAAGGATGCAAGTCTATCCATTCACCTTGAGACCCTCGTCTTCCCAGATTAAAGTCCACCTTGAAATAGACGAGTACAGAAGATTCTTTCTGATACGATAAGGCATGTCTCAATACAATGTCTTGTTGAAAATCACTAGCATCAGATATTACTGCCTTGCTTGGGTGTGACGTCCTGACAGGATCCATATTCTGGCCTGCAAATTCTGCTTGTGCAGCTGTACTATACGGACTGATTGGTGAACAAACAACAGACGGTGGTGTGACAGTAGATGGAAAATGGATGTGCAGAAAGATGACGGATAATGAGTATCATTTATGGTCATTTAACACAAACATCATTCAACCACTGATATTCAGCGATGATACTACTAGTGATAAATTATTTTCATACCGGCATTCAAGGTATTCAAGAGCTCCGCAAGGATGACGATCTTCATGTTCAGGTGAGTAAAGCAGTTACCGAGAATGGAGTCACCTCTGAAGATGCTCAACTTCGTGTGATAAACACAGCTAGTCTTTGGATTTTTATGCTAAAGGTGTTTCAAATAGCGATGAAAATGCGTGAATTAAAACATCCAGTTCGACAAGTCAAATCCTTCTGTTAGAATGGTCTTCATCTGACAGACGACATTTCAAGATACTTTTATGGAATTCTGGCTGGAAATCAGATGGCATGTTTAGCGAATCCAATCGAGGAGAAGCTAGTCAAAAGTCCACTTGTCTTGATTTTCCCAGATGTCAACTCACTGGTGATTCTTCGAAAAGCATTCAATGATCCTTTATACTATCAAAGTGATGGCGACTACTTGACAGGAGTGTGGAAACTTGGTAATTCTTGTGAAGCTTCACTATTGGCTCGGCTAATTACTTTCTTGAAATATGCTGATCCCAACAGTGGGTTATTTAAATCATCTAGCATGAAATCCTTTGGAATTTCAAGAACACTTAGTCAAATACCATGTGACGAACTATGGGAGAAGAGTGTACAGGCTTTCTTTCAAGCTTACGATGCTCTCAAAAAGCATATAGTTTTGAATAAACTGAAAGAGTCTCGATGGACACGTGATAAATGTGAGATGTACCCACGTCTATGGGAGGATTATGGCGTTGATAGTCGCTCGAAAGAAGCTCTGATCAATGGGTTTGTGAAATCGGCTGGAATTCCGTAAGTAACTGCAATTTTTATTACATTTATGGTGTTGCCAAAACTGTATTGCAAGTTGACGGGACACTTTTGTTTCTCATTCGAGCTGAGTTAAATATTTTCGAAACCTTCCCCAAGAATACGATAGCCTACGAATCGGTGTTCTTAATCCGTTATCATTAAGACAGAGAATGGGATTGTTTCATTCAGCGTATGTTTGTTTCCATTAGGTGTAGCATACTGTGATTTCTGGTCGAGAGTATGAAATGAGAGAAACTAAGCCATTGGAATTGTCAACAACTGGTGGAATTCACTCATCTGATGTATCCCTGTGAATATGACAGACAATATGAGGGAGGGGATCACTTCACTGTTGTATTGTGTGTGTAGTGGAAATCCTCTACTAAGTTTCAGCTTTTCTTTCTCATTATAACATTACGCCAATCACACAATTTCCAACGCCTTATTTTGATTTCTCTGTCACTTGTCATTCTCTGGTTTCAACAGTGGCAGAACATTTCACAAATCCGAAATGGGTATTACCTCATTTCTACTGTATAGTATATACAGGATGTTGATTCAATGAACAAAGACTCGATCAACAAGCGCTCCCCCCCCCCACATACCTAGATTCGTCTTTAGGTTCATTACTCTGTCCCAACCTATTCTGTGATTGTGTATCAATGAAATAGCTGGCAGTTTTGTAACTAACCTTTTTATCTTGCCCTGGTCAATTGTTCTCTATTTGACTAAGTTTCTACACCCTATAGAGCATAGAATTGTAGAACAGTGCCTGCATTATTTTCGTTTTTTTACTTGTCAATTGATTTTTCATTATTTCATTCAATCAAGCTATTATTATATTCACCTGTAATTGTTTGCTTTCCACAGCTGAGATGTCTCTAAGGTAGATAAGTAGTCTGTGTGTTGTCTCATCGTGAAACACGATGAATTTGCTCAGTGAAAGTGGCTGAAACTTCAACTGTCTTATCTTGTATTGTATTGTGTTGTGTCGTATTGTGTCATGTTAACTGAATTTGAACTATTCTCATCCCATATCTCTTGTCCATGTTTACTCAATCTTCTCTTACTGAGTTTTTGTTTCCACCTTTGTATTTTAAAGTATTTTCTGCATGTCAATAAAATCCTATTAATTGAAGTCTTACTAATGATAATTATAATGATAGTGATGGGTATTCAAATTTTCATCGCATTTCTCATGTGTGTAGTGCAGTCTATTAGAGAGGATAGAAAGTGAGTCTGAGAGGAAGTGTGTTGCTACTGCTATCACGTTATTAGACAACAGAAAGATGTCGAAGTGTGAATCTCCAGCCAACCGAAGTGTGAGCTGTTCATCGTCATCATTATACCAAGGTGTCGTACCTCAAACAACCAAGCGGTTGTCATTGAAATAAGCATGCTTGAAGAGTTTTGCGTTGTCAGAAGTCTGCATGAAAATGTAGGTAGGGAATGGATGGGTGTTTACTGAAGTTGAAAAGCAACTCGCTAGAAAGATATGCAAAGAAGGTAATCGGATCAGGTTGGAGTTCAGCTGATGAGACGGGATTCGGTCGATCATGGTCTCTCGTTTTACGTAGGGGTCACATCGAAATCACTCGACATCAGTCAACCCTTCTCTCTCGGAGTACGAGTACACGACGATATTTGCTGAAGACGTGACCACTTGCGAAGTTCCCCAAGAAGCTTTTGCAGTAGTCTTCGAAAATCGTCAAGTCGGATAAAAACATGAGTAGAACTCAAAAGGTTCTGGCATACATATAATAGGCTTTAGTGTCACGTCATCATGTGGATTGAAGTAATAGTGTACTGTTATGGTGCAACAGATTTCCCTTAAGGTTGAATATTTCTCCTTGAACTTCTCTTGTTGTTCTGTTGTTGGTCTCCAAGTGAGTGTAATGCAGTTTAATGAGAACAAACTGCCGTACACCGACCGACAAGTGTCTTGTCTGACGTTTGGATGTATACGTGGGCAGACTAGTATCAATTTGTCTCTCTACCGATCATCGTTCCTTACTGTCATCGACAACGCTTTCTCTTGCCGAGAGAAACATAAGCGGTGGGAGCATGCTGATATGAAACAGATCTTAGGCGTCGTTGAAATACAGAAAGCTCGGTCAGTTGGTAAAGTAGACAACTCCCGACTTCTGCACCTCTCTCAACTGCAATCATTGCAGACCGAAGTCGAAAATCGAGTACTGACTGAAAATCATCTGGGTAGATTCTACGACACAGAGAAAAAAGACTTCACAGAGATACGTGACTGACTGTGTATAATGGACATTAACTACCTTTGAGGATCACAGATCCTGGTGCATCATACAAGTATGAGACGGTAGTGCACCTTCCTCGCACCAAAATATAACTAGGGCTAAAATAAATAGTTTAAATTAAATTAACTAAATAAATCTCTAGCTTGCCTCCGGATGCTTAGGGTGTTTTAAGTTTTGTTTTAACGAGCATGCATCCGAGCAGGCTTGGACGCCATTTTTGCGCTCCATTGTGCTGATCACCACGCACGTACTCCGAGTCCCTAGTTCAGCCTTACAAGCCAGATAAGTTGATTAAACTTTTCCCTCATTCATTATTATAACATTTACCTTAAATACATAGCTCCTTTAAATACATTGCGTATCAGTTCTTTTGATTTGTGTTTTGTTACCAGTACTTACACGTTAGGTAAAGTACTGGTTAAGCAGGTACTAGAGCACATCAAATTAAGTAGGGTTGATCAAACGTTACGGAATTGTAACACGCATCCCTACAAAATTGGTGAGCCCGAGTATCACTTCTTACTTTGTCTAGTACCTTTGTTCTCTTGCGTTGATTTGTCTGGCCTATTTTTGTTTTTGGCACGTCTAGCGTTTTTTTTATTATTGCACTCCTCATTGGTTATTTTTGCATTGTAATTTTTTTATTATCACTATCGTGCCTCGTTAATTCCCTGATCAATGGCGGATAACGACTCGACTGCGCAGATGGCCATAACCCTCCAGCTTCCCACCTTCTGGGCCCACAGACCATCTGCATGGTTCTCCCATGTGGAAGCTCAGTTTGCCTTGAGACACATTCAATCACAAGAAACTAAGTCCAACTTAGTCATCGTCAGCTTACCGGAAAATGTGATTGAAGACGTCTCAGATGTGCTAGATGACCCAGCACCGAATCTTTACGATCGCCTCAAAACCGCCCTCATCAAACGTGTTGCACTTACTGACCAGCAGAAAGTGCAAGAACTTTTCAGGGATGTGCATCTGGGTGATCGCAAGCCGACGCAACTGCTTCGTCAGATGAAGCAGCTGATTGCTGACTTCAACATTGATGAAGCATTTCTCAAGCAACTGTGGTTACAGAGGTTACCACAGTCGGTTCAAGGGATCCTCGCACCCTTCCATAAGTGTCCCTTAATAGAGTTGGCGGAAGCGGCTGACAGAGCTGTGGATGCTACGAAACCCAACACTAGTATCTCAGCTGCACTGTCTACTGCCACGGATTCGTTCAAAACCCACATCCTCCTTCGGCTGTTGAGCCAACAAGTTTCGATGTTATAACTCACATCTCAAAATTGTATGAGGAGTTGTGCAGCATCAGGAACGAAATGCGGTCTGGTAGTTCTTACAAAGGTCGCACGTCTCGCTCGCGCAACAGGTCTGCCTCCCGTACCGATAGCAGACGTTCCAAATCGCGACAATCCCAACCCAGGTTGTGCTGGTACCATAAACGTTATGGTGCCAATGCCAAAAAGTGCACTCGACCTTGCACCTTCGAGGCTAACCAGGCGGGAAACGTGTGAGCCAGCACGTGACGGCGACTAACGTCGCTGGCGAGCCACTTCCATGTCGCCTCTTCTTCGTCACTGATCGACATTCTGGGATACGCTTCCTAGTTGACACTGGGGCAGAAGCTAGCGTCATCCCACCTACGAAGGAAGAGCGTCTGCGGCCAATGTCTCTGCAACTTCGTGCCGCCAACGGTTCGCCCATCACAACCTATGGTCGGAGATTCCTCGATCTCAACCTTGGATTGCGTCGTCCCTTTCGTTGGGTTTTCATAGTGGCAGATGTGACCACCGGCATTATTGGTATGGATCTCTTGCAGCACTATCAGCTGCTGGTAGATGCTGGCAAGCATAAGTTGATAGATTCTACCACAACACTCTCTGTTTCCGGTATAGTCACAAAGACGCCGCCCCTCAGTCCCGTGTACTGCACGACGGACGCTTCTAGTCCCTACGCGTCTATCATTCAGTCCTTTCCGGATGTCTTTAAGCCAAGTCGTTGTGTCCCTTGTGTGACTTCGAACGTTTCTCATCACATAACGACGACTGGCCCGCCAGTATTTGCGAAACCACGGCGATTATCCCCGGAGAAACTGCGTGCTGTAAAAGCCGAGTTCGAACACATGCTTGAAATGGGAATAATCAGACCATCCAACAGTCCATGGTCTTCACCCTTGCATGTGGTACCCAAGAACAATGGCATGGACTGGAGGCCTTGTGGTGACTACCGAAGGCTCAACGCTAAAACGATTCCAGATCGTTACCCAGTCCCTCACATTCACGACTTGACTGCATCTTTAAAAGGCTCGGTTATCTTCAGTAAGCTTGACTTGACGCGTGCATATCATCAGATCCCGGTTCATCCTGATGATGTTCCCAAGACAGCCGTCATTACACCGTTTGGTCTTTTTGAGTTCCTCCGTATGCCTTTTGGTCTTCGCAATGCAGCACAAACCTTCCAACGTTTTATTCACGATGTTTTACGTGGACTCGATTTCGCCTATGCCTACCTAGACGATATACTAATCGCTAGTCCAGACGAAGACACCCATTTTAACCACTTGAAACAGGTTTTCGCCAGACTGTCAGAGCATTCGATGACAGTCAACCTGGCCAAATGCCAATTGGCGTTCGTTCACTAAAATTTTTGGGACACGTTATCGACGAGCAAGGCATTCGCCCACTACCTGAAAAGGTACAGGCGATCCAAGACTTCCCAGTCCCAGCGT